CGTACGGTGTCGAATAATTTCGTGTCGAATCGTACGGTGTCGAATAATTTCGTGTCGAATCGTACGGTGTCGAATAATTTCGTGTCGAATAAATCTGTGTCGAATCGAGCGGTGTCGAATCGTACTGTGGTCAATAGAGTATCACCCCCCATTACCGTCCAAACCAATCTATCAAACAACCATTACCATAGCCCATCACTGTCCAAACCAATCTATCAAACAACCATAACCTTTTTCCCCATTCCTTTCCAAATCTTCTCTTCCCAATCCCCCATACTTGCCCCATTACCGCCGCTGCTTTCTTCACTCTATCCTTAATCTGAGCCTCTTGGTTTCCGTTCTTCTTCAACACATATCCCAGATATTTGAACTCTTTAACCTCCTCAATCTTTTTTCCTTTCCACCTCCAGTCTCTCTTCCTTTCCCTCCCTCCTCCTTTTCTAAATCTCACTATCTTTGTTTTGTTCGCGTTTAGTTCCACTCTTTTCTTGTTTAGGTATCCCTCTAATCTGTCCATACTTCTCATTCCCTCCTCCTCCTCCGCCAACATTACCATATCGTCCGCATAAGCCAATCTCCTTCCTCTTATCACTCTCCCGTCCACCCCTCCCAACACTCTCATGAAGTGCTCTTTCCATTTTTCCATCTTTATATTCTCGTTCACTTTTTTCCTGCCTTTTCTTTCTCTGTTCACAATTTCCCACACATCGTTTTCTCTTTTTGCGTTTTTAACTTTCTTCTCCCATCTCTCCTTCTCTTCTTTCTTTTTCTTCTCGCATAACTTTATATATTCTTTTTTCCCTTCTTTATATTTTTCCTCATCTTTTCCTCGTCTCCTCTAATCCCTTAAACACTTCCTTACCTTCCTCTTATTTTCCAGACACTCCTCGTCTCACCACCCTTTCGCTCTCACTCTCCCCCTTTCTTTCTCCCTTTCTTCCTCTATTTCTTGTAACTTTTCCTTCACCTTCCCCTTCAACCTTTTCCATTGGTCTTCTATGTTTCCAATTATCCTTCCCAACTTTCCTATTTTTCTTCTGAATTGTTTTCTTCCTTTTTCATCCCAGATCCCTCTCCATTCTTTTCTTTCTCTTCTATTCTTTTCTCTTCTTATTCCTTCCCCTTTCATTTTTATTTCCACGGGGTGATGGTCTGACTCTATCCTGTCCCCTATCCTCAGGCTTTCCACTCTCTCTCTTGTCTCTTCCCTCCCTATTACAAAATCTATCGTCGTGTTCCTTTTTCCCCCTGTGAAAGTAAATTCTCCCTCTTCATCTCTCTTCATACTTCCATTGAAGATGCTCCACCCATTCTCCTCTACCCACTTCAGTAATTTTTTTCCTTCCGTATTTAATACCCCATCTTTTGCCTTTCTGTCTCTACATTTCCCTTCTTCCCTCTCATAACCCCCTCCCTTCATCCCCACTCTGGCATTAAAGTCTCCTCCTATCATTAACTTGAAATCTCCTTCTCCCCTATCTGTCCATCTCTCTATTTTCTTCGTCATCTCATCTATCCCTCTCTCTCTTTATTTACATATACCCCTATTATTCTCCATTTTTCCGTACCCTCATTAATTTCACCTACTACCAGCCCCTCTTCCTCCTCATTCAATATAATCTCTCCCTTTACTAAATTCTTTCTTACACCTATAATCATCCCCCCTTTCGCCCTTCCTTTTATCCCCTCTTTTACAGCCCATTGTATTCCCCATCTAAAGTTTTCCGGCAATCTACCTTTTACATTTTCCCATCCTTTTTTCTCCACTCATGTTTCCATGAGTACCATAATATCTCACCTTTTCAAGCTCACCCAAAAGTCCTTATCCTTGTTCCTCATTCCCGCCACATTCCAGAACACTATCTTCCATCCCCTTCCCCCTCTACCTCCCTTTTTATGAACCTCCTTTTTCTTCTCCGTCTTCCCCCCGTTCATAATCTCTCCTCTCCTATTCTTCCCCCTCCTCTCATCCCCCTCTACCCTTTCTTGGGTTCCTCCACACTCTCTTCTCTTATCGCTCCTCTTCCATCTACCAAGACCTCTTCTTCTTNATCCCATTTCCACCATTTCTCATCTATTTTTATCTTTCCGTATCTTATCTATATCTTTCTTCTTTTACTCATTTCTTTCTTTGCTATCTTCTCTAACCTCCATCTCATCTTTCTTTCTTTCCATGTCCAATCTTCTATTATCCTTTCCCTCCTCCCTACTAACTTACTTTTTTTCTTCATCACTTCTGTCTTTTGTTCCTCACTCTTTATTCTCACCCATATACTTTCTATTTTCCCCTCCCCCTTTCCTGATTTTCTCACCTCCTTAACCTCCACATTTACCCCAATCTTCTCAAAAATTTCTTCCACCGCCTTCTTTCTCTTCCCTTCTTGCACCTCCACCCCCTTATAATTATATTTTTCTTTCTTTCCCTCCTTTCTCTTCTCTCCATTTCTCTCTCTAACTCTTTCATTCTTTCCACCTTCTCCCTTTTCATTATCCACTCTCTCATTCTTTCCTACTCCTCCCTCGCTTCTCTTTTCCTCCATTCTCAGTTCCATCTCATTCATTTTTTTTCCAATCCTTTGATATTTTCTCTCAATTCCTGCCTCTCCTCCCTTCATTTCTCTTCTTTCTCTCTTATATCTCTTCTCAATCCCTCTAACTCTTCTTTCATGCTTTTTCCCTGTTCCTTTATCTCCCTTATGTCTTTCATCCCCTCCAACATTATTCTCGCCATTTCCTTCATCTCCTCTTTCCATTCCTTTATCTCCCTTTCCATTTCCCCTTTTACCACTCCTCTCTTTGCACACTCCTTATTTTCCTCTTCCTCTTTATCCTTCTGTTCTTTCCCGTCCGGTGATCTCAGTGTTTTCCTACTTTTGTTGAATGCTCCTCCTTCCTCCTTTCCTTCTCTTCCTATACCCTCCTCTCTTTTTCTTTTCTTGAGGAAGTCCTCTATACAATCCTTGCTCGCACTCCTATTCCTTTCTCTTGCCTCCTTTTCTCTCACTTTCCTTTCCATAATTCTGCACCCTTTCTTACCTTTTGTCCTTCACCTTTTCTTGCCCTCTACCAGCGCCGCTTCTGTGAACTAACTGACCAATCCCTTTTATCCCTATCTCCAAGTTTGTTCTCAAAAAACTCCTTAGCTGTCGACTCTAGTGACTTTCTGTAACTTGTTACTTCGCCCTCTATCCAACTTGTCAACCTAATCGTATGCCTAATCTCTACCTGTCTCTCGCGCCTGTTTCTACCTTCTCCCTGCCCTCCACACCACGATCCCCTCACCTCCTTCTCTTCCTCTGTTCTCCCGACCTCTCACACACTCTCCACACCACACACTCTCTCTCACCGCCCTCTTAAATCTTTCAAACACTCGCTTTTATTCGCACTCCAAATACCACGACTATTCCATATCGCGCCGGAAGCGGAAGTCTAGATCTACTTTATATATATCTACTCAGATACTTACATATAAGCAGATCTGAAAAGATATGAGGTGATTTAATATAGTAAATCTGAGTAAATATAAAATCCACTAATCCACTAAGATCCACTAATAAATAAAAAAAAAATAAAAGTGTAAATTTACATAGGTCTATTTAGATATTTTTTACATTTATTTGTATTTAATTTGAGTCTAATTAGATTTATTTTTCTATTTTTTTAAATTTTTTATTAAGTATAAAATTATTAGATTAAATCTTTATTACATATAATTACAAATGTATAGTACACTAATAATATATGTACTCTGTATATTTATATTATATATAAATATACAGAGTACGACTTATTTTTGAACCTATGTTTATATAACTTGTTTTCTTTCTTTTTGGATTCTCAATTACTTTACGAAATATTGCAATTTTTT